ATGCCACACATTTTTATCATCTTCTGTACAATTGGAGGGTGGAGTAGAGGGAGGGGATTGTAATAGGTCCCCTCCCCCGCCTTACATGCTGAGGAATGTCTTCCATGGCTATGTTTTTACAGCTACTGGCATTTTTCCCTTGTGCTCTACTTGCCCCCACCTTTATGTTATTGCAAATGCAGCTGAACAGGTCTGTGTCATCTGATGGCAGCGTTAGGTTTGCAGTGATGTATGTGCCTCAAATCTACTTCCAAACTTCATCTCTTTTCTCTTTATGGCCACAGTTCCAGGGCCCACAGCCCAGGGGCCACTTAAAGTCATGGGTTTGAAGAGGTTTAAGTACGTCCAACTCAAGTGTTGGCTTGTGGCCTGTGTGCAAGCAATCTCTACCCCCTGCACACACACAACTATCCATTTTTGGCTTGGTGCGATGTTATCCGTCTTCGTAATGGAACATGATAATTGCCGTACCCATTTTGAGCAGACCCAAGGGCACAGACTTATGACAAGGGCGAAAATGTACGTGCTGAGATGTAAGGAAATGGACATTTCAATGCTAATATTTTATTAAAATAAATTGGTGAGGCATGCCAGGAAATAGCCTGGAAGTAACTTGCTCATCTTCTGGACTTTCCACCATACTATGAATCACTTGTTTACTTCACTCAACAGAAATGCAGCTGTATTCCTCAGCTATAGGCTGTACACTGTAAGTGAGATGGGAGAGTGACCAGGTGCAAGGCCTGTACCTCAGTAGCAGGGCCTCTGCTTTCCATCCAGAATGTTCTGGGCTTAATCCCTGGTGTCTCCAGATGGGGTTGAGACTCCTGCCAAGAAAACCTGGAGAGCTGCTACTAGTCCATGCACGTAATACTGAAATTTGGCAGGTTTCATCCCCTCAAAAGGGTCCAAGAAGCCTGCAAATTTCATCTACTTCTGCCTCAATTTTTTTTAAAAAAAGGTATAGATTTTTCCTTATATTTTTTGTTTGACGGTGCCCAGCACAAAGCGCTATTTGTCCGTAAGTTGGTAGGCTCTGTCCACTCAGGAGGGGCTACTATGTCTGCAGATTCCATCCAATTTTACTAAGAAGAGGAAATATAGCCATTTTTTAAATTTCCCCGTAATAGTGAATGGGGGAGGCATGAAACTTTACTTCTCCAAATCAGGATTCAAATGTGCACCAAACTGGGCAGGATTTGAAGCACTTCAGACCAAATCAGGCTGTTTTTCTGAGAACTGAATTGGGGTGTGAACTGAATCTTGCAGACAGTGCACGACCTGCCCCCCCCTCACCCAAGTTTGCACAACATTTTTGTGGCAAGCATTTCTGAGAGATTGCTCACACCAGTTGGGAGGCAAGGTAATATTTGAATCCTACCTCCATTTTTTGGCATCAGCTTGAACTTCTGAATAATCCTCTGCAACATCCGCTTGCCCTTCCTTTGTTCCTGGCTAATGTGTTGCTTTCTCTATGGTTTCAATTCAATAGTTGCTGGTCTAACCTAAATGCTGTAAGCACACAGGTGGCTGAACCTTGGCTCAGTGCAGCTCACACATGTTCACAGTGAATGTTCTTGGGCCATAGATACCCAAGCTCCCCCTGCCCTCCCCAGTGCTCTTTTTCCACCATTCTTTGACAACAGAGCAGTCATAAGGCAAACCTGCGCTGAAGAGGCAGACCTCTTGTAAGTTATGTACTGTGCAGTTCCCACACACACACACAGAACACATAACTGATGTCTCTGTGGGTTGCTCAATGCCCGGCGTTATGGTTTTCTGATTAGGGACACACCATGTTATGTTAAGGAGGATCTAATTACATTATACACACGCACACTTCATTATTTACAAAATCAAACTGTAGCCATCAATGGACTGCTCCAAGCTGGAGCCAGAAGTAAAATTGGACCCTGCTCTGTCACAGTTGTCAATGGGATACTAAAACTAGCAGGCTATAAAATTCATTTTTCCCCCAAGCAAAAACAATAACATGATTATTATTATTATTATTTTAAAATGCTATTCCTGAAGACCACAGAGGGAGAAATATTTTTCCTTCTGATCTGTTCCAGGGCTGCTGCTGGGAAAAGCTGTAGTGAGCCTGAAACATATTGTTGTGGTCTGCCAAAGTGTTTCTAGCCTTGGCAGGTCTGAAGCAATGGGATTTTAATGAATGAGGTGAGAGACAAATTCTAAAATAATTCCCACCCATCACCTTGACAAGTCTTGTGGCAGTGGCTGATATTAATGTTTTCTTAGACCTCGCTGTGGAAGCTACATTTAAATTTTCCTTATTTTTCATTCTTGGTCACAGAAACAAGTGAATCTGTTCCCAAACTCCTGGTAAGGAACGTATTAGCCTTATGGAATGTATTAGCATATACAAAAATTGTTTTAAGATGCTTTTACTAGAAGACACTGTCGGTGGGTCACCTGCTCACTCTTTCTGGCATCCCTCCTTCACCTGCTCAGGCCTTCTTCATGGAGCCATAAGCATTCCTTCACATTTCTTCCCTGTTGTATTTAACATCCACATAATGAGAATGCAAATTAACAGATGTTTCATCATGGCTTTATTGATAAACCTGGATTTGTGCACCAGCTCTCTATGGAACACGATTGTCCCTTTCAGAAAGTCCCTTTGCTTGCCACTTTTAACTCTGCCAAATTCATGTTAGCTGCAGTTTAATAAATACGCTACAAAAGAATGCAGTAAAGTTATAACACTCCATCCCTTTACTGATTATTTAAAAAAAACTTTGTTAAAGAATAGACTTTCTTTCGTAAAATACTATGCATTTATTTGGTATATGGCCAAATGACTTGGTATAGACTCAAGAATAAATAACAACAAGGGCATATTTTAAGAACAAATCTCTTTACAGTATGTTCCTTCAGAAGATGAGTTTGAACAAACAACAAGGGTATCACATGAAGTCTGCTTTAAATTGTTCTCCCATGGCTGATTCATTCATGTTAGCAAAGCATGATGCGTGTGCAAGGGCAGTAAAGTGGACTGGGCCATATTCCTTTTGCTGTTGTAGAGTTTGCCTATGTAAACATAGACAAGTGCACTTAAATTCACTGTAGGATTCAGTAGGCTTGAGAGTTCTCAAGTTGGTTGGATTGGGACTTGCTCTGCAGTGGCATGGATAAAATGTTCCCTGCCCTCCTAACAAAGCCACTACTACAGTCATACCTCGGGTTAAATATGCTTCAGGTTGAGCGCTTCCGGGTTGTACTCCACGGCAACCTGGAAGTAACAGAACGTGTTACTTCTGGGTTTCGCCACTCGCGCATGTGCAGACGGTCAAAATGACGTCATGTGCGTGTGTGGAAGAAGGGAATCGCGACCCACACAGGCGCGGGTTACGTTCGCTTCAGGATCCGAACGGGGATCTGGAAAGGATCCTGTTCATATCCGGAGGTACCACTGTACAGAGAAGAAATTAAAGTGGCTTCTACATGGAGACTGTGTATCATGTATACAGACCCTCTGGGAGTGAAAGCTCATAGAATCAGCAACTGTGGTTGTTTATGAATAAACTGAACACGGGAACACATTGGTCATAACATGAATCAGACCCTAATGCTCATGCGCAAACTTGCCTTCAACCCAGAAATGCATTTCTGACACTTTTCCAATTAACTGATCCGGTTATGTGTGTGTTTTTAACTGCAACTCCCAGTTTTTAAGATACCGCCCACATTTTTGCTTTATGCACAGCGGGTAAGCCTGCTCCAAGTTGCTTAAGGTTATTTTGCTTAGGGCTGCTTTACACATTGTGCAGGATCAATCAAAGTTAGTCAACAAAATGGGCATTCAAAAGGGAGGTGCAGCCAGTTCTGGGTCCCAGAAAAATATGGCTATACAATAGGTGAGTTTGCTGTGTTTACATCCTTGTAATAAGGCAGTGTGTGAAGAAGACTTTGAGGGACTTTAACTATCCATGCAGCTCCTCCCTCCCCAGGCCTTATCCTTGAGTGGTGGCACAAAATAATAACTGTGATGAAAATGTGCTTTACTTCTGCTCACATCCCTGGAGCTATTAAGAGCTCTTAGTAACTGGACCCCTGCCAAGCTAAATTGCAAGGCAAGTATAACTCCAAAATGGGAATGAAGAGAGTTTTGCTTTGTCTATTATTGTATCTACCAGCTTCGTTCCTCCTCTCAAATAATTACTGCCCTTCCCTTTTAAAAAAACCTCTTTCTTTTTCTTAAATATGTCTAAATATTTTCATCAATATATCTCTAAGGAAATTATGCTGCATTTGTATTAAATAACTTATGTATGGAAACTGTTTAATAATGATCTGGTTAGAGTCCTTGGCTTTGATTTAGTAAAAATATTTCAGAGGTACTTGTACACTTTGCAGAATAAGGGATATTTGATTGCGTCAGCCACACTTTAGGTATCACAGTCTTTTACTCACCAGAGTCAATCACACAGACGTAGTATTTGACACAAATCAAAGTCCCTGTCTTCTGCACAGGCACAAAGGCAGTGGATGCTGATATTTCTCCCTGCTGTTCTGAACAAAAGTAGTACCATCAGATGCAGTTCTCAGATGCATTAGATGGATAACCCATCAGCAAAAGCCCCATAACTGGGGTTTGCAGTTGAGAAACAGACTCTTGAGTTCTGTTGCCTCAACCACTGAAAGCTGAGCTTTTCCCATACAGATTAAAAAATGATAGCCCAGTCCTTACTTGAGCATGATTTTAAAAACACAAAACCTTACATTGGTGCAGAATGCATAACATTATATAAATGTATATTTGCACAGGGGTCCATATGCAATTTCTATATGCATATATAAATAACACACTTATGAAAAAATGTGTATTCTATACAACTATATACAGTTAGTTGGGGTGGGTGGAGGAATGGGACATTAAATCTGTACGCTGAGAGTTTCTTTGATTTGGGGTCCTGTAGACCAACCGCCCGTGTTCCACAGACTCTGATAGAAGTTGGCTTCTTTCCTCCACCTTCTCAGTACTCTCTTGCTTCCTGAAATTGTCTGTAATAGTCCTCCTCTGAAGGGTTCTCTGTACATTTCTGACCATTATTAGGAGGCCTGGCTTCATTATAGCGGCTCCAGTCCCCTTTGCAAATGATCCAAGGCAAGATGTCCACTTTGTAATGTAGTTCGGCGGAGAATTCTATGCTGATCAGGTTTGGGGTGCCTGCTCCTTTGCCCCTTGTGATCAGCTGCATGATGTCATCGTAGCAACAGTGCTGTGCAGCCAGGGTGGTACTTTCCAAAGACAGCATGGACCGGATGCAATAGCGAGCGGTCGGCTTATAGATCTCCAGTTTTTCCTTTGGCCCACTCGCATCTTTCCAGCGAAAGTTTTTCCGCTTAAGCCGGTCGTAGATATCGGCCGTGCTGTAGGCAACCTCCGTGGGATACGTGCAAGGGCAAGCAGGGAGGTCGTTGACCACTTTGTGCATGTACTTCTTTAAGAATTCACTCTTGCAGCTCATCCACCTTTCACAGCTGTCAGTATCTGGACAGTAGAAAAGGGACACAAGGAGAACTTGACTGTGTTTCAGAGATGACAAAAATGCAGGATTTTGACAGTATTTAGCTAACATCACACTCTGGTAGTCAAGGGTTTGCTTTGTGTTCTATCACAAAATCAATTCCAATATTATTTTAAAAATGTTTTAAGGCCCTGGAAAACATGCAACAACAACATTTTTTTATTATTTATACCCTGCCCATCAAACATTAAAAACTTCCCTAAATAGGGCTGCCTTCAGATGTCTTCTAAAAGTCAGATAGTTGTTTATTTCCTTGACATCTGATGGGAGGGTGTGCCACAGGGTGGGCGCCACTACCAAGAAGGCCCTCTGCCTGGTTCCCTGTAACCTCACTTCTCGTAGTGAGGGAACAAGCAGAAGACCTTCGGAGGAGGATGTCAGTGTCTGGGCCGTTTAGGGCTTTAAAGGTCAGAACCAACACTTTGAATTGTACCAGTTTCACTGTCAATGTGTGACATGTCAATATGTCAGCCTTTCCCTATGGAGTGTGCATCTTGTCAGAAGAAAAGACATTATTATTATTATTATTATTATTATTATTATTATTATTATTATAGTGAGTAAAAGTAAATATGAAAAGAAAAGAACAGAAAAGGGAAAGCAGAGGAAAACAGCAATAACATAATAACCATAACATATAATTAATGTTACCAAACTATATAGTATATATGTCAATGGACTCATGGGTCACTATGGTTTTCATAAATACATTCCAAATATCATTTAAATTTGTCCATGTGTAATCTTTGTCTGAAAGCAATCCATTCACGTGTTGCAAGAGTTGTCGTATCATCTATCCATTGACCAAAGGGGGCTGTATTTTTGCCCTTCCATATATCAATATCAATCTTCTGAAAATATACTGTGCATTCTTTAGCTACACTAAAGCTGAAGTGAGTGCATTGTAGTGCACCTAGTTTTCATGAGGTTCCCTTATGATTAAAAAATAAAATGTGGGTTAAAATTTGGCAGAGCACCGCCCCCCCGCCTCTGTGAGGGCCTCTTGAATGCAGCTGCACAGAGACACTGGAACTATAATCTTAACGGATGATATTGAAACAGCTCCTTTATAACTGAAGCCATAAGTGGCTCACATTCCAGACTTGTAATATGTGGGGAGACAGCAAGATATCTGTGCAAATCAGGATATGACACTAGCAGAACACTCATGAATGATGAAGTGAGGATCTGCATCTGGAATAAAGAACAGAGTCAAACCTTTGTGCAAGTTTTAAGAAAATCCTCAGCCTTGCTCCAAGCAATGCTTTCGCATCCCATAAACAATGCTCCGGATTAACCATGTCTTGGCCAGTATGGGCAGATTTTGGAGTGCTACCTGTTGGTTGCAGAGTCACCCTGAACATATTATGTGCAGCTGTAGTATTCAAGTTTTTGCCTTTTGTCCTTGAATAACGAACTTGCAATGATTCAAGAAGGCTGTGGCACAGCTGGAAGCAGAAACGTTTAGTCCAACATTTTTCCTTTCGAAAGCCCACTGGGAATGGCTGCTGAACAATGTGTAACTGGCTCAATCAAAACCCACACATTACAAAGACGGGAAATATTTGAGTGTTCCCTCACAGCACCTTCTCAGAAGTGTCCTAGGGGGAAACTGTCTCACAGATTGAAGTCTGCCTGCATCATTTAGCTCTGAAGGAAGAGACCCCTCTGCTCCTTTCTGCTTACCGACTTCGAAGAGCTTTGTGGCATTGAATTCTTCGCTTCCTGCGAGCAAACTCACTTCTGTGGCTGCTGTCCTGAAGGTGTCTTCAATCCCTGAAGAAAGCAGGGTATATAAATATATTTTTTCAGTAACGGCACATAATACAAGGCAGTAAAGAAACTAGGCTTGCATTAGTATCCCACTGATTTCTTATGTTCCTATAAACATTCATGCCGTCATTGTTACTTTTAGTTTATTGGATTTCTTAACTGCTTGTCACCATGAGGTCCCAGGGGAAGGTTACAACAGCAATATAAAAATACAGTATTAAAATTGGTTAAAGCTCTTGCTTTCGATTCAGAGAGAATGAGAAAGAACCTAAGAGAATGAAAATTACTTCTGAGCCTCAGCAGTCTTGCACTTTAATACAAAGGTCAAAACAAATGTCCTCCCACCCCTCTCTGACACCATCCCCTCTCAAATATTTTAATATTGACTTGAGATGAATACCTGATACTACTCGCTGGTGCCATTAAGTACCTTCTGAATGGTTATGTTTCTCTGAACATCACAGCAATCGCTTATAACTGCCAGCGACTGGAAACTTAAGTCGCAAGACAGTTTTTCATTATTTTCTGCTTGCAGTGCCAGCAAACGAGTGCTGAGCAGAGGAGTTTTCGACTGCTACGCAAGCAGATTTTTATTTTATTTTTACAAAAAACAGGATGTACTACATACTGGTGTTGCAGGCTGATGAAGACAATGTGACTGACAGACACGGTGGTGCAAATATTTGGGCTATTAATAAATCCAGACCTTAAGAAACCACCCCAACATGAGAGGAACAACGACGACAACAACAACAAAAAATGCCTGCAGATATTCTCTCAGCTGTGCAGGAACATCTTATCTGGGGCCATGTTTAAATGACCTAACCACACAAGCAGAGAATGAACCACCTGATTCCACACACCCCCTTCAGCTCCAGCTGGGTCAGGTGGAAGCAACTTGTAAACAAAGTTTACATTGTTTGGAAAATGTATTTGGACAACAAAGGCAATCCTCTGTCTGAAAGATGCTGCTCTGTTGAGCTAGGTGCCTCTATGCCAAGCCGATATTAGCAGCACCTTTGAGACCGGGCCTTGCCTTTCCCCCCCCCTCAAACATGCATCACACAGATGCAGAGTCTAGGGCTGGTCAATTTAAACTGCACTGTCTAAGGAGGTTGACTTAGGGTTGCCATTTTTACGCCTCTATTCCTGTTAACAGAAAGGGGAGATGGGGGGCGGTGGGCGGACCAAAAAATCAAGGTTGCTATCCCATAAAAAACAACCAAGGGGAACAAATTCCTTAAATAAAGCAAAGATGGCACTTTCTATGTAGCCTAAAACTGTGTGCATTCCACAACGCACATCCTCAAATTGGCATGTCAGCATCACACATGACAGTTCTGGAGAAGTATCAGCAAATTATCTTTGTAAGTTGAAGACACAGTTATTTGTTCAGACGAGCTTTCCCTTGCCGTTGTTCCAGACACGTACCCTCCCTACAAGTTATGGAAAGTTTGTTGAGCAAGATACCCAAGAACCCACCATGAAGGCAAAACTCACGGCAATTTAGTTTTTGCCCTTAACATTTCCAAATTCTCAGTGGAGTTCTAATGAGGGTGAGGGTTCATTCTCTCTGGCAAATCCTTGGGCAATTTCTACTGTGTTGTCATGCTCCTTCCAAGGAAACAAACATGGCGCCGTCAGTGCCAGCTGTCAGGCGCCAGGTTGAGACACTCCGTGTTGCCCAGGCATTGGGTTATTAATCTGGAACATACTCTGGTATGAATTTGGCCTTTTTTGTGGTGCTCACCATTTAGGTCAGGGGAATGATTTCTTCTTTTCATACCATTGTCTGAATTTCTGTTTATTGCATCTTGGGTTTTATTTTGCATCTGGTTTTTAACTGATAGTTTTTAATGCTGTTTGTAGTTTTATGGATCTGTATGTTGCTCTGAGACAATTTATTTGAAATAATAAAGCAATGAAATAATAATAGTTGTATGATTAATGAATATGCTTTTAAAAAAATAGTGCTAATGCTCTCTCCACAAGTAAGAATTCCCTGAAGATCTCAAAGTGTTTTCTAGTTGCACTTTTGCATCTAAATACAGGCCGTGTTGGAGGGATGAATGAGAAATATCAGGGAAGGCCTCCATTGCCTAAGTTAAAGTATAGTTACCAGCATGTTCACATCTGAGTGAAGGGCCTCCCTGACCCCACTAGTGATGTGTGTGCAAGAGTCATAGTTTATCCAAGGTACCACATCCAAGGCATTAGGCTTCGAACTGCTACGGCTGTCTTGATCATCTCATTTTGCATATTGCTCTCTTTCTCTACACTTTGAAACCTGATGTCACTGCAAAAACACCAAAGCATCTTATTCTCTTAGCGCTTATCTTTTTAAGCAATACAATAATGGTAAATGCAATTAGAACTTCAGAAGGCAGGATACTCTTATTTCCTATAGTACCCCATCTAGTGCATCTCACAAGAAATGCAGGTCTCTCTTGCCTACATCTCTGTAGGCTCTGTTGAAATCTGAGGCACACAGCATGAGCAGTGCTCCTGAAGGCCCTTTAGAAAGGAAAAGCATCTGGCTCTGCCTCGAAGGCACAACAAAGCTGATAATTTCAGGTATGGGGAAGCATCTCCTCCTATTATTTTAATATGATACTTTTTACCAGCGAAGGGTTGCAAGCAGTTGTGCCGTTCAGGTCAAAGTAATTAAGCGGAGCCTAACCTGGACAGTTGGGCCTGTCACATGTCCTTGATTCGGTGGCTGTGCAGGCATAGCCACAGGTTCTGGTGCGCTTCTGATTGCCGTTGCCACAGGTTATACTACAAATAGACCAGGGGCTCCAGTCTCCTTCCCCGTCTATGTAATCTGCAAGGGAGGAACAAGACAAAACAGGAGAGAACTAGCTGGTAAACAAGTAAATGTTTGATTATAAAAGTAGAAATGGCAAAAAAAAATACGTGTTGCTATCTGAGGACTGGCTTGGATATTAAGTGGTGTCTTCAACAAAACATTTGCTGCTGTTCACAATGCGAGTCAGCATTGCCTTTTCTTGGGATACTCTATCCTATCGCTTCCCTCCCCAGTTTTCCATTCCATGCTCACTGAACATGCTCAGACCTTAGTGAGCTGATTTGGCTTCCCCTTCCTTCCCCACAAAGTTTATGTGTGCTTCTGCAAATTCTGGGGTTCCCTCGAGCCGGCTGATACTTCCCTCTCCTGTGTAAGTGGATGTGCTTTGGCTACACGATAGTCAGAGAAGATCGGTATCAGTGCATAGTATATATTATCTAAACCTCAGGGAATCAGTTAATCAGTTAATCAGTTAACACAATTCCTTTTCTCTCTCACCTGTACCCCTAACCCTCTCTTCCCTCTTACTATCTTTGGTGCCCAGTCACTCTCCGTAGTGGTGGGTGCCTCCCAACACCTGCTTCCCTGTTAGTGCAGCGCCGGGTGGTGGCGAAGTTGTGCAGACGCACAGGACTGGTCCCACCGGTGCCCCTGCGTGTTCCCTACCTCATGCCACCCTCCCCCAACCAAGTCCAGGTAAGAAGCAGGAATGCTGGTGTTGAAAGTACCTACTCCTGCCCCCTGTGGCTCTGCCCCACCTCACATTTCCACTGCTGATGGCTCCTCACCTGCAGAGCACTGCTACCAACCTAAGGTGCTACAAACAAGGGATTCAGAAGGCTCACTCACCATACTCTGGCTGTGCCTTTGAGTCAAATGTCCGGTGACTAGGTGCGTGACTTTCCCACCCGCCACCAACGGGGTTCAGGAAGTTGCTGTCTTCGGTTGTGCTGTCATACTTGTAATCCTGGTCCCCGCTACTCATGCGGGTGACCGTGGGTGCTGATCTCTGCCACCAGTTCCTCCAGTCTGGTGATGGGACAGGCCAGCTGGGTTTGCTGCCTTCCTTTCGGAGATCCTTCTCTGGTTCAGAATCTGGCCCATCAACAACTTCTATAGTCACCTGGAGAATTCGAGACAGCAGGCAAATAAGAATTCAGGTCTCTACAGCTCTGTCCCAAACACCAATCCAAGAAAGAAAGAAAAATATGTTGACATGCCAGTGAAAGATTTTGTCAAGCCAAGACAAAAGGCAAGTGCCATCTGGAACTTGCAAGGGAGGGGGAAAGGAATCCATATACATCCTTGGATCCCGAAGGCCTTGCGAGTCAAACGTTTTGGCTCCCGAATGCCACAAACCTGGAAGTGAGTGTTCCGGTTTGCGAACGTTCTTTGGAACCAGAACGTCCGAGGTGACTTCCATGGCTTCCAATTGGCTGCAGAAGCTTCCTGCAGCCAATTGAAAGCTGTGCCTTGGTTTCTGGAATGGATTCTGTTCAACTTCCGAGGTACCACTGTGTGTGTGTGTGTGTGTGTGTGTATGCAACAAACAGAAAGGATGTCTGCTGTCTTCTGTCAGACTGGTCCTCAGTTAGTGGAAGAAGTAGATTAGGCCTAGGGAGGTTTGTACTACTAGCATCACCAATATTGACTTTTTTGTTTGGGTTACCTTTTAAAGAGGAGAAGAGGCAGAGAGCAAAGGTTCAAAGAAGGACAGAGGTGCCACAGGACACTTTGTTCTTGTTTATGCCGCATAGAATTAACGTGCTCTGGAAATGTGAGAAACGGTGACTTAAAAACTGGAGGAAGAGGAGAGTTCACAAAAACAGAAGCAGCGAGGTATCGGAATCCAAGCCCAAGAGCTCCTCACAGTTGGTACACATTTAAATAGGCTGGGAAACCGAAAGGGGGGAAAAAAGAACATCACACAGAAAAAAATTTTGGCAGCCAAATTATTGGCTCGACACATGACTTCACTTTGTTTCGAAGGAAAAGAAAGTGAAGCTGTTGCACCCTGAATAGCCTTGCACTGCTGGCATGACCGCATGAGCTGGCATGTGTCAAATCAATGGGCGATCAACAAAAGAGCTTTTCACCAAGAACGAAGAAAATCTCTGATCCCCAAGGAAATATGTTACTGGCTTTAAAAAAAAAGCACCTCATTTTCAAGGACTTCCTGTGAATTCGTTTACTTGAGTGCAGTGGTGCATTTGGCTGCTGATTTGGCAACGGAGTTTAAAAAAGCATCCGTAGCACAAAAGTAACAGCTGCTTGGGTTACCCTTTTCAAATGTCTCCTTGTCTTGCTAATACTGAAACAATTGCACAAATGGAAAAGGGGCTGAATGAAAATATTTCATTTCTGGGAAAGATTGAGCCAAATAATGAGTAAACAGACAGGCACTGTATTCATTTCAACTGGCACTAGGTAGAACAAGTCTCGAAATTTTGTGCAAGGCTATTGTCCGTGACTGACTGCTGTCTTGTATTGCAAACATTTAAAAAACAACTTACCTACCTTTATTGTAAGAAAGCCCAAGGAAGTGTTTATTTTTAAGTGTACATGTGGGGGAACGGTAGAATAAGTTATACATGTCTACCTGAAAATCTTCTGTATATGGTTGTATCCCATGTTCGTTATTGTTCTCCTCAGAGTATACCCACTGAAATTAATATATGCAAGTTACTCGTTTTTTATTTAATTTCAGTGGGTCCACTCAATGGATAGAACTAACATTGGGTGCAACTCATAGCAGATTCTGACATTAAACCAGTGACATATACAAAGCGATGTGCCATTTTCAGGCAAACAATTCTGCTCTAAAATATTGCAAATGTTCTGACTGATGATTTTGGAGGAACTTGCTCGAAGTCTAGTGTTTGTTTCAAGTTATGAGTTTTGTCCCTGTTCCACAGTTCAGTGGTTTATTTCCATTCAAGCTAATGTTTATCCATAAGGTTTTGTTTTCTGGGCTCATTTCAACATTTGAACCAGTCCTCTTATACAATATTCTAGGCAAAGATGGTCCAAACTATTTCAAAGAAGCTATGTGAGTGTTTCAGCACCACACGTTTACTGTTTAATTGCAGCAAAACATCTTCAGTCAGATGAATAAAGTTCCAAAAAACTTGTGCCAGACATCTCCACATTTACTTCAACTTTAAATGCATGACCTTTGTTGCAGGGTTTGCTAAGATACTGGTCTGTAGGTATTTTGCTTTATGTTGATAATATGTTTTATCATATTGACACCAACAATATACCTTTTGAACAGAATAATCCATCTGTTTGAACAGATCAATCAATCCATTCACCAATCACCTTAGCTGTATGGCAAATGGAAACCTGGGGGAAGAAAAACTCCTTTCTTACATTTCTTGGTTTCCATGTGGCTTGTAGGTTTCGTGAATGAAATTGTACCTTTGTTAGACGCTGTTTATTCCATGATTCAAGTAAGAGCCTAAATAGGAAAGAAGAGTTTTTTACCTGGATGTTTGGGTTTTGCCCATTGATGTCTGCTTTTGAGAGGTCAGGAAAGTTTGGGAGATCCAGAAGGAATGGCCTCGGCCCATCTCTTTGCAAAGCTGTATGCCCATTCTCTTGCCTGAATCGCTGCTTGGTGAATGATTTGTGCGCGACATGGTGGTCAGGATAATCCCGTCTGTCCTCAGGGTTTAGTGTAAAGCTGGCTTCAGGTGATGGAAGACCATCTGTGTGGAGGGCATCCTGGGGGCAAGAAGCAAACACCAAGATTACACACAGCAAATAAGAAAGACGGACAAGAGTTAGCAGAACCCAGTGGGTTGGTTTACATGTCACAGTTACGCTTAATAACTATGCTTTAAAGGTGTGGTGGCACACTGGCAAAAATGGTGTTCACTTTGCTTCTCCCCCACTCTAACAATGGTTTGCTCCTGGATTGCCACTTGCCATTGGCCTGGGGGAACCCTAAGCCAAACCACGGGTTAGCTCCCTGTAGGAGCAGGAGATGAGCAAAGCAGTCGTGAGTTTAGCCCCATGCACAAACGTTTTGCACATTCACTTTTAAGCCACGCGATTCCCCCTCATTTTATCATCACAACAGCTTTGTCAGGTAGCTTGGACTGCAAGACAGTAATTGATTACCCAATGAGCATCGCAACTCAGGGGCTTTTCGCACTGACCATTTATAGCGGAATAGTCACTGTTTGATTCAACATTTTAAAGACTTGACTTTGTAGCTGATACAAATGTTAAGAGAGTGAGTGCAGGGTTTTCCTTTCCATGGTCATAGTAAGCTTTGCTCAAACTGAGAAAAGTTCAGTGGTTACATTCACACGCCTAAAGTGTCCTTGCGTTCCTCTAGCCATTAAATATCAGCATGCTGAGGGGGTCAGCCCTTTTTAATTTATTTATTTTTAATGCCTAGTACCCCAGAATATTGACCTTGTGGAAGTACAGTGGTACCTCAGGTTAAGTACTTACCGTATTTTTCGCCCTATAGGACGCACTTTTTCCCCTCCAAAAATGAAGGGGAAATGTGTGTGCGTCCTATGGGGCGAATGCAGGCTTTCGCTGAAGCCTGGAGAGCGAGAGGCGTCGGTGCGCACCGACACCTCTCGCTCTCCAGGCTCCAGGAAGCTATCTGCAAGCCTTGCGCACCCGGGGGGAGATCCCCCCCGGGCACGCATGGCTTGCGGGCGACAGCCTGCAGTGCGGAGCATGGGGCGCCCTCCGGAGGATGCCCCGTGCTTCGCACAGGTGTCCGCAGCCTGCCGCCCGGCGTGTGAGGCGCCCTGAAGCAGAGTGCCCCTCACGCCGGGCGGACGTCGGCCAGCCCCACAAGCTTGGGGGACAACGGGGAGGCACAGCGCCGCCATCCCACTGTTCCCCGACCTGGTTTTGGGGGGGAAATAAAGGAAAAAAATTTTTCCTTTATTTCCCCCCCCCAAAAAGTAGGTGCGTCCTATGGGACGGAGCGTCCTATGGAACGAAAAATACTGTAATTCGTTCCAGAGGTCCGTTCTTAACCTGAAACTGTTCTTAACCTGAAGCACCACTATAGCTAATGGGGGCCTCCTGCTGCTGCCGCGCCACCGGAGCACAATTTCTGTTCTCATGCTGAAGCAAAGTTCTTAACCTGAAGCACTATTTCTGGGTTAGCAGAGTCTGAAGCGTATGTAACCCAAGGTACCACTGTATAGGAAATCGGAAGAGGAAGTACGCTTCTGGCAAACCCGGTTTTTGTGGCAAAATTTTGTCTGCAGCTAATGACTGTTGTCATGCATCAGATGTTGACTCAGTACCATCATCTCTATCTGCCACAACTCTCCTCTGAACTCAGCTCTCAAACCGACAGCTCGCAGTGGTCCAAGGGAAGCAGCACGAAACGGACGCCTTCCAAACTATTGCCGCTGACCCCCACCACCCTTCACACAAAGAACAGGCCAATGCTTGTCCCCATGCCACACAACTAAAAATATTGAGGATCCATTCTGGATCTTTCACCAAGTTGGATTCCTTACCGTATAAGAAGCAGCAGATTTCCAGGTACATTATTCTGGAATACTAGCTGGAATATGCATGCTGACGTCATGCAGCAATGTGTCAAAAAATCTGAAAAACTCAGCAACCATTATGCTATAAAAATGGAAAGTGTAGAAAGGCCCTAAATAAGATTTTCCACCTGGATGTCACAGGTCCTAGTCTGAGACTCTAGCCACTACTCCACACTGAGGTCTGCAGCGAGTCGTTAACTGCTATATCTAGATAATCTCCTTTTCAGGTTGACTTCAAGTGGGTCTTCAATTCTTGCAACATGGTAGAAAAACCCTGCAGCTTTAAAAGCATGCAGCTTCTCAGAGCTGTCTGTAGTTTCCAGCAGGCAGCTGCTCTCTGCTCTTTGCCTCTCCTCCTGCCCACTCCCCAAGATCATTCACCATCTCCTTGCTAAATATATTTGTGTATCCATCGCCTGTCAAATGGTGTTTCCCTTAGTGTCTTGAAAGCATTTTGTCGACATGGCTCACAAGGAACAAGGATTTCACCAGAGATTCAGAGACCAAAAAACATCTTGTGCTTAAATAGATTGCCTCTCCCAGGATGAACCTTGCCTTTTCAAATATAACGCTTGCCCACTGCGTCCTCCTGGAGCTTTAACTTCTGACTGTAACAGAAGGGTGTTATATTTGAAAAAGTAGGGTCACCTGGGGAGAGGCAATCTATTTAAACAAAAGATGTTTGGGGCTCTTGTTTATAGAAGCAAATGCCCTGGGTGTCAAGGGAATTGCACCTGTGGTCTCTTTCCTTCATTTGTGAAAGTGTCAATGGCATTTGCCAGAGTTCAGCTCAGAAACAATCTCTGTGGGCTTGGTAATGCTCGCCTCAAAAGGAGATGTGAGCATTCAAAACCCCAAATTCTTCTCTGGTTGCTGTATATCAATCGTATGTTGTCAACTGCAAGTTGGTTTTCACTTTATGTGGCAAAGGTGCTCAAAGTATATTCATTGGGCCTTCCTGGTATATGTTCCCTCCATGTGTGCCCACAAAAAGCATGCTCCCATCTCAGTGTTTGATGCTCCAGACACCCAGTTTATGCTGCAAGCACCCTTGTTACGTAGAATGAGAATCAGCGTTTAGCGTTTTGAACGATACGGTCTGGAATACCCTACGCCAAAGGATAAATGGACATAAATCTGACCTCAGGAATCACGAGACAGAGAAACCAGTAGGAGAACACTTTAGTCTCCCAGGACATTCTATACAAGATCTCAAAGTAGCTGTCTTATTACAAAAGAACTTCAGAAATAGACTGGAAAGAGAAGTTGCTGTATTACAACTTACTACCAAACTTAAAACCATGGAGAGACCTGGTCTGAATAGAGACATTGGATTCTTATCTCATTATACATGATGAAGCTATTTTTAGCCATCTCACCCCTTGCTTTTCCCTGTAAGACCAATTCCAGTTGTTAACAGTCGTCAACAAGTTTACCACACCTATCAGCCAATCACCCATTCCCACCACCCTTCTGAGTAATACCCCTCCCCACCCTCTCACTATATATAAGGGTCTGGTGACTTCTGTTTCAGTGTATCTGAAGAGGTGTGCATGCACACGAAAGCTCATACCAATGACAAACTTAGTTGGTCTCTAAGGTGCTACTGGAAAGAATTTTTTTATTTTGTTTCGTGTCTGGAGTATGTAAAGCGTGGGAACTACCAGGAATGCTAATGGTTATTCAGAATAATTTCTGAGAACAAAACAACCTTGTCTTTAATAAGCATCTGACTATTTAAGGCCTAGAATTAGCTGGACTGTGAAACTAATAACATGCCTAGTTCTCAAATGTTGCTGACACTAAACTATCTGAACCAGTGTTTTCTTCTGCGCTATGTAGCCTAAGCTGGTGGGTTTGAGAGGCCCGTGGGGTGAAAGAAATGTCTTGATGCCTTTATGTAACTAGTAAAGCACCTAGTGTACAATGCAAGTTTCCACAGCACCTGGTTTATAATTAAAAATGATAAACGCAAGAGACTCCAGGCTGAAATTGTACAAAAACTATATGACAGACGCCGCACAATCTCTTCCTGCAAGAAGCAAGGAAGCATGCAGAAATAAAGTTCTGCTACACATTAGAAGCCTCTCTCTTTGAAACTAATGAATGCAGCTTCATTTCGACATTGTTCAAGCCCTAATACTCCTCTCGGCCTATGCGCTATTGTTACAACATCAAAGACCCACTGCTGGCTCAGATACAGTCAATATGAAAAGAGATGGCCCCCTAAATTTACTGCTTGACTGCGTTCTCTTTTAAACGGATAGCACCGTGGTCCTCTTTCAAAGAGGTATCGCAGACATAGATCTTCTTTATAGGACATCATGTACAATAAAGCAGAGCTATAACTTTGTAAAAAAGAGAAAGAAAGAAACTAACAACATGAAGCACCTTTAAAGAATCCCCATGAGGTGAACATTCCTTATAGAAATATCTCTGTGGTTACCAGTTTTTAAAATGCTTGGTACACTCTGGCCATAGTTCAAGGCTCTTTGATGATATATCATTGTTTAACTGACTAACTGAATTATATTTTAGCTAGGCTATAACTTCACATGTTTTACGCTCTGAAAATTATATATATTTAAACTTGATTGCCCCAAACATTAGGAATGTAGCAAAATAGCAATACTTCTTGCTGGGTTCTTCACCATAGATAGGTTCCCATAAATCTACCCACTTCAGAAAAAGATTTCTCCCTCCCCCCAAAATGAATGCTTCATTGCGACTTATCTAATTGAACTAAAAAATAATAAATGCAGGGGGCGGGGGCGGGGGAAATCCACATCTCTATTAAAACTATTTTGTTTCCAGTCTTGAGTAGTGGATGTTTTGAAGGCTACTTGGTTCAAATAAAGCCTAAGATCAGTTACACATTATGCTGCCAGAACCTAAATCTCCATTCACTATGGGAAATTTAATCCATCCTTGTTACGGAGCTATTTTAGCATTTGCAGATGCTACAGCAATGTTAAAAATGGGGGCTAGAACATGCTTCAAGGGCCATGGAAGAGGCACATGCAGGAACAGGAAAGCCAATAAAAACAGGAAGAGGGTCCCGCTCACCTCCATTAGCATCATAGGGTGTAGGCAGCTGTGCTGGTTCACTTGGGAAAAATCATTATCTAAAAATCACGGTCGGGCAATGCCTCCATGAGGCCCAACTAAAATGGTACAAGGTAAGTGAGCAAGAATTCATTTACTCCAGAGCTCTTCCTTAAGCTGGATGTTATGCAAAGCGGGATGTGGGGGACATGGAAGAGCAATGGAGATATTACATTGCCATGATGTAAGAGTGAAGACAGGTGGAGCATTTCCAGGTGAGGTGGGCGTGGCTTTGCTGCCCTGTAGGCAAGTGCATTTGAGTGCAGTAAATGGTATGGAAGGCACCACACTTAAGAGTGCCCGAGACAAATGAGAAACACACAATAGTATGATGTCTTGTGCTACCCTTGGGAAGAAAAGCTTGAGAAGAAAACCAACCAACCAAAAATCCTGAGAGAGCGCTACTGGCTGACTGGCGGGGGGGGGGGGGGCGGTAAAAAAAAATAGGGTGCTTAAAATGATTTTTTGTGGGTTTTTTTTAAAGGTTCCTTATGAAGAATAAGATACTGCTCTTCTGCCCTGATGAACCAAATTTCATAGAATTCCTTCAAATTTACCGTATTATTTGCTCTATAAGACTCACTTTTTCCCTCCTAAAAAGTAAGGGGAAATGTGTGTGCGTCTTATGGAGCGAATGCAGGCTGTGCAGCTATCCCAGAAGCCAGAACAGCAAGAGGGATTGCTGCTTTCACTGTGCAGTGATCCCTCTTGCTGTTTTGGCTTCTGAGATTCAGAATATTTTTTTTTTCTTGTTTTCCTCCTCCAAAAACTAGGTGTGTCTTGTGGTCTGGTGCGTCTTATAGAGTGAAAAATACGGTAGTTTGTAGTAGTTTGTGTCTCAACAGCAGGATCATCCAATAGACATTGGAACTGGCACATAGACAGCCAATTAAGCCCTAGATCTCCTACGGCGAGACTGACTTGCTCAATAGAAATGGAAGCCTCGTTGTTCTAAAAATCACATAATCTGGACAAGCTAATTTTCTCCCAGGAGAAAGATGATTGTCCACAAGCTCATATCCCTAACCTATTAGGCTATTATCATTTACATAAGCACTAGGATAATAACACTATACAATTTATACAATAATGTATGGGAATATCGTATATTGCTCTTTTTTGTATATTTTCATTTTTATATGTATCTTTGTGTGTTTTTTTCCTCTCCTCCCTTTTCCTTCTTTTTCCCCTGTATCACTTTATTTCTTTTAACTGAAATCACCTTAATAAAATATAAATATTTTTAAAAGTTTATATCCCTAAGCTGCAGGGGTGGCAGTCTAGTGGCAGGAGTGGTGAACAAGCGCGAGAAAGAGAGTGGGCTGCACAATTCACAATTCAGTTTTATAAGTGGGTTCCAGTCTAAAAATGACTTGTGATATTGTGATGCCCTTGAAACAATGTGCTGCTTGCACTAGTAAAAGTGCAATACTTTTCCAGTCAGAGCCAAATGTAGTCTTCAGAGAGGATATACAGATACATTGGCTCCAGAACAGAAGTGAATTGTAATTAATATGTGCAGCACATACTGCAGAAGTCCTCTCAAAACCTCTCCCGCTAAGACAGGAATAGACAAATACAAGTGGGGTGGGGGTTGTTTCTTCAGTAGGAAGACAGAGCTCAAACACAGATCCCCTCCAAATCTTCATCTATCGTTACAGTATTCAAATGCCATCCTAAGAGTTAAGCATCGATACCAGTAGCAAATAATACATGTAATGTCTAAACAAGATTTGCACAGGCCTTTCACATTCATGCAGCCCAAATAGCTTTAAAAGCATCTCCAAGTAAAACAATATGGGACGTCCATTTATCTAGCTGGTTCATATTTTGTTGGGAGGAAGAGGATTTTGTGAAGCAACATGCAATGATATCCGTAGACATGAGTTTGAGCCAGGCATGCTTGGCTTAGCCGACACATGAAAGAACTCCAGGTAAGGAAGTAATCTTCTAATTCTTCAGCACATGCAAAATAGCCGCAGGTTTACAGCAGGTGAAACCCACAAACAGGAAATACCCAAAATACCCCCTGGGTTTTGAGTCAGCTCCAGTATTTGCTTCCAGGCAACTCAATATGAAAAAGAGGAAAGAGTTGGTTTATTTTTAAGAATATTTCTAAACCACCAGCTCATAAAATATATCAAGGCGGTATACAATAAAACCATTAAAACATGTGTTCTCTGCACACATACTCCACACAATTCCGCCCATGGATTCCACTCTTGAGGTTCATAAGAAGCCGTTTCTATTCTAATGTTGTTCTCAACAAAATCCACACAGGGGAACTTACATACTGGGTGGATGTGTCATTAATTTTCATATGCTACTACTCTAAAAATTAAACAGCTACATATATTAGCAATTTTGTTCAATGCTGTTAATACTAAAAACTGAAAGTAACCTATTGTGGCTTCATTCCAGGGAGGGCTAATTACCAAGGAAAAGATGCCAATTGAGAACATGACTTGCTATTCTCCAAGATACAACTTATCTACCTGCAGGGATGAAATACTTTCCTTAATCTCTTGCAAATTGTCCCTCCCTTGGAAGTGTATCATTGCAGCCTTAGCCTTTGTGAAATGAAAGCTGAATATATACAGGGAAAGAAGAACAGGAAGAGGCCCCGGCAAACAGTCTTAAAAAACAAAAGTGCTCTTTGTTTTAAAATATAATGTGCTTAGACCCTATTTTACAAAATGCCAAAACCCACAAAACAACAACTTTAAATGTTACCAGAAGATAGTCTGCATGTAGTTATGCATAAATGAAAAATTACCCATCAGTATTGCACAAAACTGCCAGTAGGGTAGAATAAACTTCCAAAAAGTGTTATTAGTCATCTGCTGTTTCTGAGATGTTTATACCTGAAATTGAAGTTGGGCTGTCATTTTCTGACTTCTTAGTCCAATACTTCTTCTTCTTCTTTTAAGCATCACTGGGCATGTTTGTGCTAGAGAGACGTTTTTAGGATTAATCATGACATTCCTGCATTGCTTGGCAGATCTTTGTGCCCTTGTTCCAAAGAAGCAGTCCGCTTGTTCTTGTAACAGAACGGCATCATGACACGACTTAGATCAGAAGTTTTAAGACATCGTACCTTCGTAGAACTCCTTTTGCGTCACCAAAATGTCTGCAGAACTCATCTATTGGAGAAGATCCTGGAAGCACCTGCCATCGCCCAAGTTAACAGGGAGCTCACTGCCCTGTATTGGATGGATGGATGGGCAGTGGCAAGCAAGCTGACTTTAAGGATCCCTTGGCGAGCTTCCAAGGAACCTCCAGGTTCTCCTGCATGCAGCTCAAAAGTCACAGGTTTATATAATATGGGCATAACTAAGAGTAGCTTCAGAAGTTACTGAAGAAAAGGTACCGGGAGGATGAATAGTCAATTCCCCATTCAGCTCACAGTGCTTCTTATAGCTGATTTTGTCTGTATAAATGGATACAGTGATTGTACAGTCAGCTGGTGGATCTTCACCACAAACAACTATGTCTGCTATAAGGCACTGAGAAAATGCACAGGAGTGTGCAACAGTTAGATTTTGGCATCAGAGGACAGGACCTCTTTTATAAAAAAGATCTTGTACATGCCTAGATGCTTCAGGCACGTAATAAATATTTTACATCATTAGAGCCTGCTCTAAATACCTCAAGGAACAGACCTCCAAAGCACGTCTCAGCTGATGAATTTCAAATGTTTGCAACCCATTGTCTTAATGGAAAACACAAGGAAGCGTGGGCGAGATCGTTCCTTTGTGTTTCATGGAAACTGGCATGCCTCTGACTCTTCTGCCCTGGTGAGCCAGGTGGCCTTGGGTGAAGGACGTCTCAGTGGCCTGGCCTGAATGGTTTCCTACAGTAGAAAATAACCGAGATCTCAGAGACTAATGGGCTGATCGTCTTGGCTCAATACATCTGAGAAGGATAATGGTGAAGTTAAGGAGGAAGTAGACTAAGGCTAATCTGGTTGCAGCAACAGGAACAGAAGTTCTAGTATCCATTAGATTCAGCAAAGAAGTCCCATTCCTTTGGTTGGAGAACTGCATTGCTAAATTCAGAGAAGTGCATATTTCCAAGGACGGGTGCGTTTTGGTTTGCATATTGTTTCACAAAGTGCAAATTAGGTAACTTCACCTAGAAATGAAAACTGAATCAAATTTCTCTCCAGACCTTCTAGAGATACACCAGTGGTGAAACCCTGCTGTGGTTCACAAGTCATCTCACACTGCAATGGTTTCCCCCTGAGCAAGCATTATGTTTAAACCATTCCTCCCCAGAACTCTTTTGCTCCTTGGAAATAAAGGGCAAATTCTTATTAGAACCAACCAAGCTTTAGGTAAGCAGATATTGCTCATTAGGAAGAAGTCAGGCATGCTGAACAACAGTTATAAACTAGGATTGCAAACCAGCAGCAAACCTCAGGAATGGCTCCTCCTGTTTCCTGCCCTGCTGACAAATTCTCCTCTATTCCATCATCAGCCTTAAATGAGGTTGCGCTAACTAGGTCCCTCTTAACCAGGACATGCAGACACACTTCAGACTCTTCCATCAAGCTCTAAGTCAGTGATAACCATGGTTCCTTTGATGAAGGTACCATAATAAATCATAGTTGAGTGTTAGAAGGGAGGCAGGGGGAGGAATTCATGCTGGAGAGGTGAAGGACTGCTGAGGAACATGTGCCCATTCTGAAGGACTAGATAAAAATATGTATAGTTTTATTCTTTGTAGATGCAGAAAAACACTTGCATTCCTAAGCGACCTGAAGGTATCAGTCAAAACCTGCAACGTAATATAGTGGAACCTCGGTTGTCAAATGTAATCCATTCCAGAAGACCGTTCGACTTCCAAAACATTTGACAACTGAGGCGCAATTGCCGGTCAGCAAAATCCATTGAAAAAATGGGGAAACACGCCTTGGAAGCCGTTCGACTTCTGAGGCACGTTTGAAAACGGAAGCATTCACTTCTGGGTTGCTGGCGTTTGAAAGCCGAAACGTTCAACTTCCAAAGCATTCAACAACCAAGGTTCCACTGTGCTTTTATTTGCTTCAAAGGCATAGTAGTGACAGTGTATACCTTTTTTAAAAAAAATTCAGCCTGCATCTTCTTAAAGAACAGGGCTTGAAAGAGGATGCGCTGTCATTGACTAAGCCGCTTCTGGCGAAACCAGAGCAGCGCACGGAAACGCCATTTACCTTCCTGCCAGAGCGGTACCTATTTATCTATTTGCACTTTGACTAGGTTGGCAGGAGCTGGGACCGAACAACGGGAACTCACCCGTCACGGGGATTCGAACCGCCAACCTTCCAATCAGCAAGTCCAAGGCTCAGTGGTTTACACCACAGCGCCACCCGTGTCCCATGTACAGGGATAGTGTCTGCCTAATGTCAACAGGTAGGGCGTTCCAAAGCACACACTAAAGGAACGACTCCTTACAAACTTGGAACAAGCTCTGTGTGGTGTGCAACTTCCACAGACTGAAGTGACTGAATCAGCACATATAAGGGCTCCATACTGTCCCAATTCCTGGGATTAAAATGGAGACTTGGCATTCCAGAACAGAACGCCCACTCACTCATCTGTCATTTGTGTGTCAGAATGCATCACTGGAGAACGAGCGAGGACATTTTTGTCCCTGGAATTCCAAACAGGGTGTGAGAGAACAAAATGTAGTAACAATTTATGCCAGGGTAGACTTTCTTTTTTTTTTAAAGGCAGGAATTCCTCAGTTATTGGTCATCGGGTGAGACTTTTGGGTGAGTCTCCAAGACTGGCAGCTGTGGGTACTAGAGGCAAAATAGCAAAGATGCTTTGCAGGAGTTTCAGATGGGCCCCCAAAGTAGGTCAAAATTTTGTTGGTATTCACTGCCCGAGCTGGTTTAAGAGTAAGACTGCCCACCACACAAACCAGAATCAAGGCAGCTTTTAAAAAACAGGTATATATAACTTGTACAAAAAGACATCTTTTTGATATTTATGTCTGGTTCTTCTAGCAGTAAAGTGGCAAATAAGAACTGGGGAAATGCCCATTTAGTGTTGGCTAAGAAGTTTTTTAAAAAATGCCTCCCATGATTGCCCAAGGGCGCACTTTGTGCGTGTTTCTACTTCATTGCTCTCTAGTCTCATTGCTTATTTACTTGGCTACCTGATGTTTGAATCTGGCCACAATGAGCAAGTAGTGAGGGCAGGGAGAGGAAAGGGAACAGGTTGCCACGGTGACCACCCTCAAGCAGGATGATAGGGTGCTGCCTAATAGAACCCTTTCAAAGGGGGGGGGCATCCTTTGGGCCCCGTAGGTTTCACCCTTCCCAATGTCAGACAGTCAGGGTTGGTGATGGTGGCGAAGCTCCCTCAGCTCACAATTTGGAGGGCTGGCAAAGAGGGGCTTGGATGATATCAGATAATAGTTTTATTGGTTGTGTTTGCCATAATTGGTTTTAATGTTTATATTGTGTTTGTAAGTCACTTTGGGTCACTACTGTGAGGAAAGTGGCATAATAAATAATAATAATAATAATAATAATAATAATAATAATAATAATAATATCATCCAGTTCTTGGAGCCCAGGTAGCATGTAATCTGTGCTATTTTTCTAGAAAAAGAGGTGCTGGAACTCACCATGAACACCTCCCTTGTTCTCTTATAACGGCCATAGCACCTACCTGTGAGGTGCCAAAACTGAGTTCCGGCTGAAAAAAAGCCCTGCTCTTAATCGCATTTATGGTGCCCTGTACTTCCTTCTGGGTGTTGGGGCAAAATATTTTGTTTCGCAGGAACTTCAGAGTGGATTTGATCTGCATGTTTTCAGCTCAGCACTGGCTATGAAAGGAGAAAAGCAGCAGAGAGAGCCATAGAGCAGGGCTGTGGCTTTATCATCAGAGGCCCTTTCTCTAGGTACTCCTGCTGCCAGAGCTTTAGCGGGTAGTGATGACTAGGGAGAAGGACCTTTTCCTATGGTGGTACCTCAGCTTTGGGATACTTCCCTGGCATCTTGCCTAATAAGTTTTAGGTAAGACTATTTCAACTGCCCAGGCCTTAGAATTATTAGTTACCATGTTGCTGCTGGCTGAGAAATTTGTGGCTTGTTTGTTTCTTTGCTTTTTAAAACTGCTATTATTGTTTATGACTTTGATTTTGGTAGCGACTGTATTTTAATTGTTGTTGTTACTGCTGTTCTGCCTGCTTTGTCAGCTGCATTGAAAATCTGTATGATAAAATACATACTTTTAAGTCGTCGTCCCCAGATAAATAGATGCTCAGCTTTTCTGAACAGATGGAGGGAGTTTGTGCTAAAGAGGGAGATGTCTTCACATTTTGTCAGTTGTATTGGATTCTATCCAATGGTGTCACTCAGCTAACAGTAAGGCATCCATCACTAGGAAAGCAATTTCCAATGATTCCCCTCCTAAATGTGCTCCAGAGGATGGGGGGGGGGAGCCCCCAGAGCAGATTTAGGGAAGCACAGGGGCAACAGAGGAGGAATCACTGAAAATTGCTTTCCTTCTTCTGGTGACTGAAGCCTTCAGAGGAGAACAACTGTTGAATACAACCCATTGTTTTTAACTAATGATGTAAGCTACATAGAGAGGGCTCAGAGACAGAATAAAATAGTCCTATGAACATATATTTTTCTAAAGTGTCTCATTAAGTGGTTGCATGTATTTTGTCTACACAGAGATCCTGCATTCTGGCCATTTGGTTAGGTCATCTTTACAGCCGTATTTTCTCCATAATTTGTATTTACATCATCATCACAATCTATTTCCTACGTTAAATCATCACTATACAAATGAGAGTTCTGACACTTTTAACGTCTCTTTATTTTTCTTCCAGTGCTCAGAAGAAGCCAGCCATGGGTGTGTTACATGCAAAGTCATAAACCATGTCAGAATTATATTCCTCAGGCGAAGAGAAAAGCACAAATATCTGCTCCTAGTATCCTCTTAATCTTTCTCTGTTGTGAAACTAGTAGCCTTAATAATAATAATAATAATAATAATAATAATAATAATTATATTTATATCCTACCCATCTGACTGGGTTTCCCCAGCCACTCTGGGCAGCTCCCATCAGAATATTAAAAACATGATAAAACATCAAACCATTATAAACTTCCCTAAACAGGGTTGCCTTCAGATGTCTTCTAAAAGTCAGATAGTTGTTTATTTCCTTGACATCTGATGGGGGGGGGGCGTTTCCTACTCCTACAACAGAGCAAGGCATCTACAGTTCTCACACTGGGATGGATTAGAATAAAAAGATTTACTAGGAGTCATATTCTAGGAGTAGCCTCCTGGGATTCAGATATCAAGGTCCTCCCCCCCAAAGGTTCCTTCCACTTTGCATTTTGATTGTGGAGGCCAAATTTAAAGGGCAGCCCCTCTGTTTCCCCTGGAGTTGTCTCATCCAGCAGCAGTTGCCCAGCAGAGCTAATATTAAAGTTGCCAAACATGCCTTGAAACACCAGTTGGCTGGTGATTTGCTGATTGATATTATAACCTCATTTACTATGCAGTTATTTGGAAGTGAGCTCCATTGAACACAGGGGAGCTGACTTTTGAGCAACCATAACCCCATAAGCGATCATAACCTGAGAAGCATTGGGCTGCAAAAGTCAAGACATTCCTGAGGTTGCAAACAATGACACTGTGGGCGCACCCTGAAAACAAGAAGCTCTGGAGCATTTCTTAGCACCTGCCACCCCTTCGCAAAACCCCTCAGAAATGCTGCAAGAGGTACACAATCCCAAATGATATGGAAACCAAACTGTCTGCAATAATAGATGCAGATATTTGCCAGCCAGCTAAAACCATCAGCCACCTGATTTACTACTGTTTGTTTACAGAACATCCAATAAATCCCCTTTTCCATGCAAGTTCCCTTCCTTTTTTTAAAGGAATATTCCTAAAGAATGCAGGATAGATTTAAGAGAATTCAGAATCATCCCTGGAAATATTAGAAAACTGGGAGCTAGCAAACATTTCAAAGGCCCCAAAGCATCAGTTTACTTGTGCTTTGAAATGTACAGCGGAGGCAGGTTACTATAATTTTGGCTAGAGAATAAGTAAATTTGCAACTTATGTTTCCATCTGTTTAAATGCTTAGTGCGACATCTGATATACTCTTTGCCTTTAATGTCTGCAGGATTCTGCTCTCCCAAATCCCAGAGCTGCAAAATCAATTGAGTTAGGAAGTATATAACTTTGTATTGCTACACATGGCAGAATCTATGAAAAAGATCTACTGAAGCTCTTGCTCTGCAGTGTTTCTCAAATGCAGAAACTTAATTTAACAGATCGTTTTATGAGGAATGGTGAGATTTCATGAAATCAGCAGTCCGTATACAAACACATAAGCCGCTGTTAAACAGAATCTGCCTTTTGCCTTATTTTTTTTAATTTAAAATACCAGATAAGTCACTCCCACCCCCTCAATTCAGTAGCATATAAATAACTCCGCTGGGAATTAGTTTCACCTAGATTTTCATTTGCCCAGCTGTTTCCCTCATTATGTTACTGGCCTGTAAAGAGAGGCAAATTCAGGGTTATTCCAGTGGTACCAAACGCCTCATAAAACAACAACAAAATCCTTCTCAGATTTACTGTTCTACAGAAGGCACTTCAGGGTCCCACAAGGAAAGAAAGCATCATTCATATAAAGAAAGTTACAGCTAGGCATCTTGAAGATATTGTTGGCAAGAGTGAAAGTTGTTCTACAAGGACAGCCTACAAGAAATGGGTCAAATGATGGCTCTTGTCAGTCAGAACGCAGTCCAGCGGCCCTCCAGATGTTGCTGGACTACAGCTCCCATAATCTCTCACCATTGGCCATCCTGGCTGGGGCTTATGGGAGTTGGAGTCCCCAGGTTCCCCAGTTCCGGCTTTCTTCTTACATCGTTCAAGCTCTCTCCTAACAAACCCTCTTTCTCCCTCTTCATTTTGGCTGTGGTGGTGGGGATTTTGTATCTGCTTGGCCTCCCTGGAGCAACTTTAGGCTGGACTAACAAAAGGAAACAGCTTAAAATAGGAATTCAGCTGTTGGGCAGCCCAGCAGAACCTCCCTAAGTGTCAACATTCCCCATATATTTCTTTCCCATGTCTCTTCATGCAGAAGGGAATCCTAAATTTGGTTTCATGCTTTAAAGCTGCACTGAGGTTAAGTCCATTCAGCTATTTCAGCCTCCTGTAAGCAGGCAGGGCTTTTACGTCCTTACAAACAAGGGGAAGCTCCCATTTTAATACCCTAATTTCAAGTTGCAGCCATGCACGTTTAGATTAATAAGCACCCTCGCAGAAACACCAGTTGTGGAAACTATGCAGCCTTCTATTAAGAAGAAGCTGGGAGGGGGGGTGTGGAGAGAGAGAAAGGTACTTTTCCCCAATACGCAGGACGAGGCTGTCATTGTCCCAGCACATTATACCGTTCTGAAGGCTGAAACTTTGCAACATAAATGTGGCCTTCCTGCATCCCATCTGCACAAACTCAGCCACACCTAACCGGAATTTGAAAAAAGTAAAATGACGACAGCATTTATTGGTTTCAAAGGAGGGGCGAGATCAACCTGAATGGGGAGAACTTAAAACTAGCTTGCTCCTAGATGAAGCACACATTATTAGTTTAGAAAACACTGAATCGTCCACATGGTTTTTGAGGCTGGTTTTTAAAATGTCATAAACTATCCTGAAACTGTAAGGACTGGAAAGAAATCAAAATAGTAAAGTATCTGGGCTGTTCAATTTCCAAAATTCCCTATCCACAGATGTATGGAGAGACTATAATAAGAAGAGAAATTCTCACCACAGTATCTATGCAGCACCTGTCACTCACACAGGTGACTCCTACTTCCTGCCCTGAGATCTTCGGATAAAGGGTGGTATACAAATCCGATAAATATAAATCAATTTTCCTTGGGCCATGCCCGCTTCTCCAGACCGCATTTCTCACCAGCCCTGCTCTGTGCTCCTACAAGTGCTTTCGCCTGGCTGGAACTGTGAAAATGCCTTTTGCTTATGTGGATGGAGCCTCTGAACAGATGGAATGTGGTCTGCTGTACTGCTTTGCCCACCTTTGCCCCTGGGCATGCCCACCAATGGCATGTGGCCCCTGGAAAGTTCCCCAAGAGGGAATGTGGCCCTTAACATTGTGGCTAAAAATCTAACTACAAACCAGTTAGTCCCCATCTTGAATCTTGCTACTGCCCTGAATTTACTAGCTGGCCATAGGTTCTCATTCTCTCTCTCTTTCTCTCTGACATCTGAAACATGGCAACACTGGCCAACCTCACAGGGGTGTTGTAAGGAGGACAAGATATTTATTGGAAGCCCTCTGAACCCCCGTGCAGTAGAACTGTTAAACACTATCAGAAAATGCTAAGAAGCATTACTATAAATCCATGCAAATGATAATTATCTTATGGTCCACACACTGGTCCACTTTTCCACTCCATTCTTCCTTAGCATTTCCCACAATGTTTCCAGTTCAGTAGAGAGGAGCAGGCTAGTACTAGAATTTGGGATGGAGCACACCTGCTGTCACCCGGAATATTTGCAAGAATATTACTATTATTGTTGTGGGCAGAGGGATATATTCTATTCTTCAGACTCCCAAGTCCACACTGGTTTAGAGATGCTCATAGGACATGTGAAAAATATATAGGCCTATCATACCTGGACTGGGAAAAGGACTTGGCAGGATGTGTGTTCATGCAAGTTTAAATACAACACAGGGGAAAGACAGGGAGACCTTTTGCAACATTCACTGGAGATGTGGGTGGGGAGGAGCATAGAGCACACCATGCTGGGTAGCGGGCTGAAACAACCTCTCATGCAACAGTGTAATGGCGATTGGTGTTTGAATGATGCAGCAAGTATTTTAAAGTGGTGCAGATGAATGGGTTGAGATCCGCTGCAGGATGCACAACATGTTGGGGCCAGCATGAGAAGATCAGGATCAAGACCTGGTGTCTCTGCTCCAGCAGGTAGGCTGTAAAAACTGGGGACCTAGCAAAAGGGGTAGGTCCCCAAAGCCTATGCATGTAGGTTCCATCCAGACCTTTGGAAGAACATGTGGAAGTCTGGAGCAGAGACCTCACACATGATCCTACTCCTCTTCATGCAGGCACTGAAAGAATGAAAGGAGCCAAATGTACAAGTTCTAAAGCAGAAATGCAGAACCTCCAGATCAGGGGTCAGCAACCTTTTTCAGCCATGGTCCGGTCCACCGTCCCTCAGACCATGTGGTGGACTGGACTATATTTTTTGGGGGGAAATGAACGAATTCCTATGCCCCACAAATAACCCAGAGATGCATTTTAAATAAAAGGACACATTCTACTCATGTAAAAACACACTGATTCCCGGACCGTCCGCGGGCCGGATTGAGAAGGCGATTGGACCGCATCCGGTCCCCGGGCCTTAGTTTGCCTACCACTGCTCCAGATGATGAGCCTCATCAGCACCAGCCAGCATGGCCAATGGCCAGGGGTGCTGGGAGTTAAGAGTACAGCAAAATCTGGAGGACCAACCCCGTCTTCTAAAACGATGGTGGAAATAGCCTGAAATCACACACAGGATACACTGCAAGGCATTTTTTTTTCAGGACTCCTGTTTGCTGTGTGCACTCGCTGCATTTCTGTTGCGCTGAGTTTTTAATCTATGCTCACACAACGCTATCCAAACTGCCAAGTCCTTGAACCATTCCTAATTATCTCTAGTCAAAGTGCGAACACTTAGCTGCCAGGGGGGTGGGGGGCGGCAACTTCTTTGTGCTCTAAAGCGGCAACATGAACACACCCTTAGTTAAGCCAAAAGAACATAATTTATTGAAAAACACAAGCTTTGCATGCGGACGTTCTTGAGTTCCATCCCCAGGATCTCTAATTAAGAGGAGAAGCACAGAACACATTTGTATTTCTTTGGAGGTTTGTTCCACCTGGCTCAGTACAGTATTGTTTATGTGGAGGGCAGAGCCTCTCTGGGGTTTCAGGCAAGGGAAGTCATTCCCAGTCCTACCTGGAGATGCTGAGGACCAAATTTGGGAACTTTGGCATCCAGAGTGTCTGCTCCTCCAAGAAGACGAGAAGGAATGGGCAAGACCTTTCTCCCCCCCAAGACAATGAAGAGCCAGTCCCAGTCCGGGGGAGCCTAATAAGCTGCCTTAGTGTGTCACGACCACTGGATCCATCTAGCTTAGCACTGTCTACATGACTGGCAGCAGCTCTCCTGGGTTTCAGATGGGGAGGGGGCATCCCAACCAATGCCAGGGGCTGAACCTGTGCCCTTCTGCATGCAAAGTAGATGCTCTGTCATTGAGCTACAACCCTTCTTTTCCCTGCAGTGTTTCTCAAATTTGGTCCTCAGTTGTTGTTGGACTACAACTCCCATCATCCCTGACCACTGGTCCTACTTGCTAGGGATTATAGTTGTAGTCCAATAACAGCTTGGGAACCAGGTGAGAGAAACACTAACTGAACTAACAACCTGGTAGCTCCGGTTAATAGAACATGAGACTCTTAATCTCAGGGTTGTGGGTTGAGTTCTACACTGGGTGAAAGATTACAGGGGTTGGACTAGATGACCCTGGGGTGCCTTCTATGAGCAACTTCAACTATCGTTGCACCAACATATGCAGCGATTCCAGTGGGTGGAAGTAAAAGAAGAGAACGGGCTAGGGGAGCGAATCAAGAGGGTGGCTAGCAGAGGGACGCCTCGGTTCCTTGGTAAATCCTCTCCCTTCCCACCCCAGAATGTAAACCCGCAACTTTCGCCGGTAACGGCGGAGGCTGCTGCAAGGGTGCTCGCTCACCGGTTGGCGCTGGCTGTGGTTTCCCGTGGCGGCGTCGGGCTCGCTGCCCCGCAGCACCGTGATGTGCAAGGTGAGCAGGAGGAGTCCCAGCAGCAGGAGTAGCTCGGCCGCCAGGCGCACCATCCTCTTGCAGCGGGCGGCTTTAGGGCTCCGCGACGGCGACGGCACAGCAGCGGCAGCAGCGAGAGGAGGAGCCGCGGCGGCAGGAGCAGCAGCAGCAGCAGCAGCAGGAGCCCCGGCCGCGCCGGCGGCGTCTAGTGGGGCAGCAGCCGGATTCCCTGCGCCGCTCTCGGGATCAACCGGGCCGGCAGACGACGACGACGGGGAGCAGGAGGAGCACCGCCACCACCCCGGCGGAGCCACTTCGGGGCGGGAGGCGGCTTCCGAGGCGGCGGCGCGAGGAGGCTGCGGGCGCCCGCCCGACGGCAGCGGGGCCGTGGCAGGGAGAGGGTCCGGCTGCAGGGGGCGCTGCTCTCGCTGCTCCTCTGGCAGCCCGGCGCCCGCATGGGGTCGCGCCCGCCGGCAGGAGCGCACCGGGTGGCAGCTGCCGCCGGCCTCTCGCCCGCCCACCGCCGCCTCGTCGGGCCCCGAGCGCGCTTCCGAAGCAGCCGGAGCAGCGCCGGCGGCGGGGCAGCCCTCGTGGCGCAGCGCAGCCGAGAGCCGTCGGCGCTGCGCCTGCGGACGACGAAGGCGAGGCGGAGGAGGAGGAGGTGGAGAGGGAGCGCGCCTTGCGCTGGAGGTGCCCGGCCTGCCTTCGAAGACAGCATGCGAGGCGGGGGCGGCGTCCGCCCCTGCTGGCGGCCGGAGGGAGCGCCCCGCTCAGAGGGCTCTCCTCTCTCGTCTCTAACTCGGGCTACTGCTGCCCCCAAGGCCGGGAAAGGCGACTTCTCCTCCTCTCTCCAGCCACCCAGATGCTCCGCGCCCGTCCCCACCACCGGGCGCCTTCGCAGGGGCGCCTACGGGGGTCCCCAGCCCACCCAAGGGCTCCCGGGACGGTCGGCGGGCGCCTGTTTTCTTCAGCCCATGAGCCGGGCTGGGGTGGGTGCTGTCAGAGGGATGCGGGTGGGGGCTGCTCCGGCCGCCCCCTCGGGGCTTCTGCGCGTCTTGCAGGCTAAAGGTCCTCCCCGGGGTCTTCGGCCTGGCTCCTGAACCTCTTCCCTTCCTGGGGGAAAAATCCTCTCGGAGGGAACCAGGAAACGTCCAAGTCTTTGAGGGGCACCTCGCTGGAGAACTTGTTCCCGGTGCTAAGACGGCAACGGCGGAGAGTTTGTGTGCGAATCCCCCCGTCTGCTGGCCGGTGTGTCTCCGCTTGCAAGAGGCTGTCTCTCTTCCCCGTCCCGCCAGGCTTTCTCATTGCGTGGGTCTCATGCTTTTATACCGCGCTCTTTCCCTCCTCTGCATGGCTGCTGTCTCTCTCCCTCCCCAACCCCCCCTCCTCGTAAAGTTTTATTTCTTCTGATCTCGTCAGAGCAGCTTCTCTCTCCCCCCCCCCCCCTTGCTTAACTCCCTGTTGCTGTTTACTTGCCCCTAACTGCCAACTTGGATAATTAGAGGCCAGTACAGCAGCGGACACCGATGCCCTAGTAGGTTTCCTGTATTTCATGAAGTAGGTGTTGCCTGTGGACAGAAGACCCCGGACCAAGCAAACCATGTCATACGGAACTAGACACTCTAAGTCGGTTTTGGACATCAGAAAACACAGGCTTTTGTTAAGCATTCATTCTGATAGGTTTGCAGGGCGGTGGCGATGTTAGATAATGTTGCCTCAAAGCAACCTTAGCCTGCACTTTTGCCCTGCATTTTCTCTTCACTCCTTCTTGCAAAAGGCTCACATTTGGGGGAAGTGGGTTTGCTGCCCCAGATTGAATCCCACATGAAAACAATGACAGCCTGGAAATGCCTTATGAGTGCTTGGAGACGGGAGTTTATTGTGGAATTGGCACTGCTTGTGTGTACAAGTTTTCCGCAGCATCCACATGACATTGGCTCCATCAAAATTGCCACCCCATATCTCCTCCTTCATTTAATCCAGATGCCCCCTTTCTTTCTTTCTTTCTTTCTCCTTGTGCAAATTCAGGTTGCTGAAAGGTCTTGTGCAACACACTTACTTCCCCAAAAGATTAGGCTTTTTGCGATAAAGAACATGATGGGCAAATGCACTGGAAAATGTGGGAGGGCACTTGATTTTGACGCATCATCTAACTTCCCCATAAACAAACCAGAAACCAGTTTCCCCCCAAGACACTTCTCCTTAAACAGTAACAATTCAGAATGGTCATGTTTACATCCCCTTTGTCTGACACCATTAAATGTTAAGACCAAGCTCTTATTTCGCCTTTTGTTTCCTGAGAAAATACGATTTTCCCGAAATGACATGTCAACAGAAAGTTCAAGAGCTATTTACAGATGTACAAGTGAAAACCAAAGTCACTCAAATGACTTCGTACCCATTTTAAGCGGGTTCAGGGAGGGCTTCTTCGCACAAAATGTGGCCTCCAGTGGTTTCCACAGAAAGTGTGAAAAGATGGTAGGCACATAGGAATATGCCTTGTCCATCTGCTCTGACTAGCAGTAGTTCCAAATGGTTGGTCTCAGCCATGGTGCAGCTGGGTAGCTTGATGCCTTAGGTTTTTGGTCTTACAGGAGCTCATCTTTATCCAGCCATGTGTATTACTTTTGTTGTGAATCACACAATTAACATATCTCCCTCCCCTACATCACCACCCCGTGCTTTACAGTTGCTTCTACATTCCTCATGTATGTTAGAACACACACAAAGAAACCCTCAGAACTCAGAACACTCAGAACTTTTTCAGTTTTGCATTTTAAAGACTCACTTGAATCACAGCACTATCATGACTACTGGAACAAAATGGAGTTTGCTTCTGTTGCCCTGATGCTAAGGGTATTTACTTGGGAATGAGACCATTGTGGAGAGTGGGGTTTATTGTTGGCATTCGCCTGCTTCAAGAGACAGTGGATTGTGCCCCCAGGGATGAAACCAAACCGCTGGAGAATCACAGCGCCTGCTGTGGCTGCAGAGACCAGTAATTCATAGCTGCTGCCTCCTGCGTTGTTTTCGCTGTGTTAGCAATACTGATTTAGCTCCCTAGGGTGCAAGTCTGGGCAGTGTGTATGGAGGTCTTGGGCTGCCCATCCTTGCTGGTGTGGTCTAAAGGAAAGCAGAGCAATATGCTTGGCACCAGCTTGGCTGCATGAGCTGCCAACTGCCTGTGGGACTCCACTCCGAATTTGCTGTCTTTTCTCTCAAATCTGTCCCATAGGGCCGTGGGTGTGGGTTTTCCTTGGGGTTTACTCCCAAAGCCTTTCTCATGACTGAGTATAGCCGCAAGGCAGCGAAGATTTAAGACCAGAGTTTTCCTTCTTCTAGGTGGGCTACTTTCACAGGTCGATGAGCCCCTTCCCCTCATTTCCCTCTATAGCATGTGCAGTTTCTGCCTTGCTGACCAATAATGGAAGAGCGGAGTAGAAAAGAACAATATATATTTCAAAGTGAAAAATAAAAGGAGCTCCCTGCTCCTTTCAACTAGAGATGCCACTGCTGTGTGCGATATTGCACGTGCTCATCGCTATGGTCATCCCAGGATGTGTGTTCATCAGGCCAGATCTGGGGTCAGAGAGAGCCGTGTGAGTTGCTTACATGTCTGCCTCACAGGTCAACCCTACAGATGCCCACTCAGAATGGAAATAAATACCGTTTAAGCCTGTGGGGTTTAATTCTGAGTAAATATGAACAGGATTAGGCTGCATGGGTGTGAATGGCATTGACAATGCAGCTATCAATCGCAGGCCAGGCTTTTTGAATCCTCGTGGCACCAGCAGTAAATCTTTACTGCACTGTGGTACATAAGACCTGTAAGCCATTGAGATCACAGTGTATGTTACTGTTTCTTTGAAAGCTTTGATTTGGAGGAGTAAAAATAATCTACTATGTGGTTAATATCTAACATGTTTAGATATTAATGTGAACCAGCAAATGCAGTTAGATTTGACTGACTGAGTTAAGTTTTATAATAGAAACTACACATGGCTCCACTGGCAGCTTAAAAATCATCTGTGATAGTTCTGAAAAGGACACAGGCCTAGAAAAACTCAATTGTATGCAAGCCCAATTCAAAGCATTGTGTCTTTTTTAAAATGAATTTGAGGTTTAGGGATGAAGCTTCTGTAGTTCACTGATATAAACAACATCCAGGAAAAAAAGGTCAGTCAGTGGATTGATGTAGAATGAAACACAAGAGACTGGCTACGAAACAACATTTTCCACTATTAGTTATTGGAATCTGATTTGTTAAGCCACCGGCATCCAATCAATCACATACTTCCATGCCTTTTCAACCATTCTCAGACAGATCACCTTTGGAGGGCCGGCCACAGAAAGCCCAGTTTAGTCCACTGGTAACCAGCCTGTGTCTTCTGAGGAGGGAGGGAAGGAGGCAGACAGGAGTTGAACTGGCTGGCTGGGGAGAGAACCCCATGTATCTGTGCTTGTGTGAATCTGTGTGTGTGTATGTGTGTCTGTGAGTGACACAAAGAATATGAATTATACAAATATGGGTGATAGATGAATAAAGGAAAAACATGCTGAGGGTCTCAGAGGGAGGCTAGCTAGCTAGTGTGTGAGAGAGACTAAGAGAGAGGATGGATATATGCAGTGCTTTTTTCTTAAAAAAATGTTATGGGTACTCTCATTTTCCTACTCATATTGAAATACTGCCACTCAATGAGGCCAAACTTAGATTCACAAATTGGTTAGGGGTATGCATACATCTGTGTGTCCCCCAGAAAAAGTGCACTGGATGTATGAGAGAGAGAGAGAGACTCCGTCCACCTTTCACTTTAGCCTTGCCCATGTTTTGCTTTGGGTCCCATCCATCACCAATATGCAGCCCCAGATCACCTTTCCCCAATTGAATACAGCCCTCAAAAAGGCTTCCCACCTCTACTTTAGACTAGCAGCGGTTCTCAACCTGTGGGTCCTCAGATGTTGTTGGACTACAACTCCCATCATCCCTGAGCTCTGGCCTTTCTAGCTAGGGGTGATGGGAGTTGTAGTTCAACAACATCTGGGGACCCACAGGTTGAGAAAGGCTGGGCTAGAGCGTGGAACTTCTGAACATTGTGCAATGAAGCAAAAGTGCCAACTCCTGAATTTAGTGCCAAAGGGCTCCGAGATCATAGAACCGTAGAATTCTAGAGTTGTCCCATACAGGGATTGAACCTTCAACCTTGGCATTATGAGCGCCACACTGTAGCCAACTGAGCTCTCCATAATTTTGTGGAGTGGCAAAATAGCTGTACTTTAGCCATGAAACAGACCATGCCAGAAAGGAACCCTTGAGGAAGGTCTTTTCTGAAAGTGTAAAAGGTAGGTTTTTTTGAGTTCTGGGGCGGGGAGGGGAAACAATTTGGTATGTGTTACGTTTTATTTTAAGGCTACAAATTGGTGGGTAAGGATGATGGAAAGAGCCTAATGCACACCAGCTTAAGTGACAGCATGGTGAAATAAAAAGAAAGAAACCTCACACATATGAGCTGCAGCTGGGTTCTGGGTAATGTAAGTTCACCATGATGCCATGGTTTGTTTTTTTAAAAAATAAAATCTTTAATCAATCTGAGACAGGCCTGTATTTGGCATGCACTTCCGGATGCAACATTAACTTTTATGTGTCAAGATGTTGTGCAACAGCAGTAAAGGAGCTGTCGAGCCCTACTGTTGGCAGAGACAAGCAGGCAGTTTGAAACGGGATTCTCTTATGATCGGAAAAAGAATGACTTCACATTGTTTCAAAAGCATTATTGTTATTATATGCATATATGGTTTTTTTTAAAAAGAGTTCTCTTGTAGATGCAGTGCCAGCGGTGTTGCAAGGTTGACTGGGGAGAAATGGAAAAGCACTTAGGCAACAAGACACAGCATAAACAGTCAAAGCCTGCTCTGTTGCCGATTGCGAAGCCCACACATGGTGGCTTTTGACTCGGAATCAAAAGCCACACACAAGATGAGTTCATTGACACAAATCGATGGACCAGAGACCGTTGTTTAAAGGAGTTGTGCCCCTTTGCTCCTGGCGTGTGGGGGTGGGGACAACAACCCCAAAACAAAACGAAAACCAAGAGACCCTCCGTTTTAGTTTAGCTGATTCTTTGCAGCTGCAATCTGTCTGCGTGCCAGTTAAAGTGGAGTATTGGATTGAAGCGGTTTTGCAGTGAATACCAGGTTCAGGGATGAGTAAACGTCCCCTGCTGTTGCAGCCCTGATTCGCAATGGCTCTCTGCGGCTCCTGTTACTTTCCTTATTTGTTTGAGCAGAGGAATCCCAAGCACAGGATCCAAAGACATGCGTAACATCACCTTTCGTTTGACTCTTAAACCAATGGGAGTAAAGGGATGAGGGGTCTGTTGCTCTCCAAATGCTGTGGGACTCTAACTCCCATCAGCTCCAGCAGGCATGTGCAATGGTCAGGGGTGATGGGAGTTGTAGTCTAGCACCTTGGATTAAATTAAGATAAATCCACGTGTTCTAATGTCCCTGGTTACACTGCCTGTATTACTTTTTTACTTTTGGACACACTAAGCTGTGAGCTTTCTAGAGTAAAGAGGTATGCGGATCTTTACACATTTCATGCCGCCACCATGATCAAAGCATGGTGTCAGATTATGGCTTCCTATGAATCCATTGCTTAAACAAGGGACAGCCAACCTGGTTCCCTACCAACCACCTGATGTTGTTGGACTCCAGCTCCCATCATTCCTCACTATTGACCATGCTGACTGAGGCTGATGGGAGGTGGAGTCCAATGACATTTGGAGGGCATCATATAGGCTACCCCTGTTTTAAACAAACCACAGTTTCCCCATTTTGGATGTTATAGGGAACAGTCATTTGTTTAAAAGCAAATGCCAAAGCTTCCTTGCTCAAAGCTGCAAAAGAGGGAAGACTATGGTGGGGGGCAAGCCACGGCCAGCTGCAGCTCATTCACAGAGTGGGGAAGTATGGTTTTCCATGACTTCTGAACTAGGCCATAGCCTGTAGCAACAAAATACCTGCAAATACAGCAGCTTGCTGCACAGCAACCCACACCATCGTTTCAGTGAAAGATGCCTGTTGAATATTCTTTCTGTGCAAAAATGTGATCCTTAATTAAGAGAGAGGCTATGCTTGTGTCACCACAAATATTTGCAGAGGATCTAGATCATGTTCATATATGTTATAACAACAACAACAACAACAATTTATTATTTATAGCCTGCCCATCTGGCTGGGTTTCCCCAGCCACTCATATTTTGTGGTTTTATATTTTGAATTTGTTCTGTGAAGTGGCCTGAGACCTCTTGGTATACAGCGGTATATAAATTCTAAGAAGGAGAAGAAGTAGTTTTGGTTTGTGTTCATATATTACTTGGGAGTGGGTGAGCAGGAACTGGTTTAAGTTAAAAGGTGGGAAGACATTCTCTTTGGATTAGAATAATTAAATTATACAAGCCAGCATGACCTTCATTTGCAATTGTTCTATAATATGGCCTAAGTTAAATCTGGAGCCAAATGAAGTGAGGAAAGCATGAAGTAGTCAGGTGGACTGTACCAGCTGAGATTACAGATGGGACAGCACCATTTTTTGAAAAAAATGTTTTAATACATTAAAAACATATTGGGTACTGTGTGTGAGATGGGTGGCAGAGAGAAGGGGCAGAAAGTGCTTTGGTCATTTCCACCTCATTTTGGGGCTCGTCCACACTTCCTCTTGTTCCGTGCCTGGAAAGCACAAGTCTGGGCAGTTTCCCACTTGTGTGCTTCTAGGTATGGGTCTGAGTGGTTCTGCCTTTGCCTTGCTGTTTCCCCCCAGAAAACCCACTCTTTAGCACTAAATCAGAGCAAATGTCAATCTGGAGAAAACCCGATTGATGTTTGATCTGATTCAGTGGTAAACAGCAGCTTTCCTCAGAGGAGCAAGCAGAAGTGTGGATGAGAGCCCCCGCTCTGAGTTCAGACCAGGCCTATGTTTGTGAATGCCACTTCCCCATTTTGTGCTAGTTTAATATGGGAGTGGGTGGTGCTGTGGTCTAAACCACTGGGCCTCTTGTGCTTGCTGAGCGGAAGGTTAGCTGTTCAAATCCACGCAATGGGGTGATCTCCCATTGCTCTGTCCCAGCGTCTGCCAACTTAGCAGTTTGAAAGTTCACCAGTGCAAGTAGATAAATAGGTACCACTGTGGCGGGAAGGTAAATGGCATTTCCGTGTGCTCTGGTTTCCATCATGGTGTTCCTTTGTGCTAGAAGCAGTTTAGTCATGCTGGCCACATGACCCAGAAAGCTGTTTGTGGACAAACGCCGGCTCCCTTGACTTGAAAGCGAGATGAGCGCCACACCCCATAGTCACCTTTGACTAAACTTAACCATCCAGGGGACCTTTACCTTTACCTTTTTTAAATATACGCAAGGAGTTTCTAACTAAATGCTGTTGAAATATGCGACATTCATTCCCACCTGCAATCTGAAGCAGTACGCTATAAAGACATTGTTACCACAGTTTATCATTTTGTATAATGCATGAAGCGGCTCTAAGACTTCACAGAGAGCGGGGAAATCCCCACTCAGTTGAATATCCTTCTGCAATGGATTCATAAATGTATCTTACTAGGAAAGCTCGCATTTTGCTCCCCTCTCCTCGCTGAAAGAAGACAGAAGTAAATGTCTTTGGAACCTAGCCCTGAGAGAAGAAGGATGATGAAAGCAATATTATTGTTGACTATAAAACTCTTTGTTTATTTTCTCTCTCTATGATTACTTAAGTGTATGAGTCATTTAACTGAGTGGAACTGAGACATCCAAAACACATGGATAGCTAAGTGAATGCTTGGATAAACTCAGTACGTGCACTTAAGTTACACTTGAACAGGGTGCTTTGAGCTGAACGTATCTGAAGTGCAAAGCAAGCTACAAAACGTAGACAAATGAAAAGCTACCCAAGGAGGTTGAAGATAAAGCTGGAACTCCAGAAGGGGGGGGGCAGCTCAGTTCACATTCTCCATGTGACTGAATCACTTTCTGATAACACCGCATAGGGAAGACCATTTTGAACATGTGGACCAGAAGGTCAGCACCAAAGGGGTAACTAATCTGTCTGCAGACGGATCTTCTTGGGTAAGTGCCCCTACAGGCATGCAGACTTCAAGAAGGAAGATGCAATTCAGATAAAGTTAAGCACGCTTTAATCCTGCTATAATAAAATAAACAGAGCTTGAAAATGTATTACAGGTTAACTGCATTTTCCTTTTGAATGACAGGCTCTAAGTAGCCATCAAGAATATTCCTTCCTCACCTCGTGACATCAGTCTTTCCTCTTACACTACAGATATCTCCTATAGACGACTATACAGGAAAAACATTTATTGATGGAATATAGATAAAATGGACTTCATAGAAAGAATAATGAGTGGGAACTGTTTCCCACATGCAGATATTTCTTGAAAGTACTATTGGTTAAGGAAGGAAAATCTCCTAGCACCAGTACCAGCTCTTAAGTTTTTAATCAACTTCTAATGCAATTTATTTCTTTCTTTTAGAAAAATAAACCTACAACATTTCATAGCTGAAATACAGGAGATTTTGTAACAGAACTAAATGTGCACACCATTGACTAAATTAAATAAAATGCAAAACCAGCAAACAAAATTTTCCAAAAGCACAATTATACTAAAAGTATAGCAGGGGTGAGGTTTTAAGCAGGAATGATCTTAGGCAGCAAAGGTTAAGTAGTGAGGCATTTCTGGTAAGCAACTGAAAGTTGTAGAATTATTACTTCTTGTTCATTATTCCTTTGTTCTGTTTTCCTAGTGTTCAGACTAGGAAGCTGGCTGCAATGAAAATGAGAACACCAGTACTCCATAATGTTCATGCTGCTCAGAGGTGCACATAGGACCTGGTGTACGATTTATACACAGAATAAAATGGTGCAACACCCAAGCAAATGTGTCTGTCTCAATTTTAAATTGGTTTTAACTGTAATGCCTTCTTTGAAGAAACTAGGGAGCTGTGCATTTTGTGGGGCACTGAAAATCCCCAAAATGAATCCCCATGTTCTGAAGGGATGACAATTTTGTTTTTGTTTCTTTGCAGTTGTGTCTCAGATTTTGGTGGACAACACATATACAGTGAAACAGAAGGTTTAACCTCTCCTCCTCCTCTATTTCTTCCTTCTTCCTTATTCCTTACTTGTCCTTTATTCCTTCTCCTTTGTGTTCATCTTATTGTTTCGGATGCTTAT